AGCATACTCAAGGTGTCGAGGACGCTCAACGAGCTTTGGTCTTACAATCCAGCGAACCGCGGTCACCTTTCAGTAGACAACGCCCAACCCACACTCGTGGAGCACTCAAGTCTTCACAAGTCTCTACCACTATTATCCTCCCGGGCCGGGCATTTTTCATTAACCCGCCGTCGGAGTTGAGCTACTGTGGGCCGCAAGCCCACACAAGGGTAAAGGGAGTCTCGAACGCTCCGTAGCGCGTGCCATTGGAAGTGGTTGTTGCTGTTGCTGTTTTTCTTCTTTTTGTTTGACTGTCGGACTGTGTTGGCGGCCTGCCAGGCTCATTGCACTACAAAAGTGGTCTCCCGGCCTAGAACGGTTTTGTCGACGACAAGGAAGTTGGTCTGGGTAACTGCACGGTTGATCCAGCGTTGCACCTTGCTGTACTCACTCACTTTTACATTGTTGTTCCGGAAGCTCAAGTTCATGGTGAGCTCCTGTTTCCTCGTGACATTATGTCGAGCATAGTACAGGGGGGTCGCGATATAGTGCCATCTTTGTTAGTGCCAGCTCCGATATAGTGCTACCCTTCTGCGGGTGGCACGCATTTTGAGCCAAAAATGAAGGGTCTCGAGAGAGGCAGTTGGATGGACGTACTGCCCGAGAGCCACTGCCGCCACGGAAAGTTATTATGCAGTTGCTACCTCGAATAGACTGGCGGAAAAAGGCAGGGTCGATGATGCAATTGGACATCTGCAAAAGTGTAGGCTGGCATTTATAGCGCGAGAAAGGAGGAAGTCAATGCGACGGCTCGGAAGCCACTAATAACAGAAATGCTTGATTAGACTTGAGTCTGTAGTGAAGATACAAAGCATGAGTGATGGCGTCCTGCGAGCGGTCTTTCTGTGCAGTGATGCAAGGAAGTGGCTGCAAAAAGCCGTAAATCTCATTATCTAACAGTGCCTGGTTTGATATAGTGCCGTTTTCGGCCCACTGACACAGGGTATCACTATATCGCGACCCCCCCTGTACTGTAGTAACAGTTGGTACAGCAAGGTGCAATATGTAATACTGTACATACACAGGACAGGGGGACGCCCATTAGTGCCGCTTTTACTTATGCTACCCACCCATTAATGCAGGCCAGACACACGAACACAAAAAGTGCCACGTGTCACACGGGTCCGGGTGTTATGGTATACCGAGTGTATGAAAATAGATGTCACGTCACCCACTAAAGCCATCTCCCAATAGTGCATGTTTTTGAGGCCTCGCACAGGGCGGCACTAATGGGTAGGGTCCCCTGTACGTAAATACTACGAATCCACCCCTAGACTAGGGTAGGGGTGCATTCGTAGTATTATATATAGTATAGACTACTAGTCTACTATGATGTATATGCTTTATTCATTGACTATTGCTGCGAATGCTATCTCATATAATACTACGAATGCCCCTACTGTAGTAGGGGCTCTAGTCCTCCGATCGCACTGCGGGTAGCCTACGAAAGCATACAGTAAGGCGCTCTTTCCGCATGCCATCGTTTCTTTGCTGATCGCCCTTGAGAAACGTATTTCGGCATCAATTCCTTCAAATCAACCGCGTAGACGCGTCGTATCTTGATTATCAATATAAGCAACGCAGAATACTGTATTTATATCTCTTCTATTCGATTTACGTTACTGCTTACTATCGTTTCCAGAAATCCTGAACAATCTCCTTAAAGGCCACACGTCTGCTCATCCAATGCTCCCATTAGCAGTACTGCGCCAAAATCAGCCATATCGCGAACACATTGCATGGGGCACGCCACAAATGGGAGAGACACACGTGCTACAAACTCTTTGTTGTCAATAAATTATCGCGCCAGCTTTATTCTGACAATAAAAAAATTATTAACACGAGACAGCGATGCATGTCCAAATGTGGACCCATATAAACAATATAGTCACAACACGGCAGGCAGCAGCAAAGTTCTCTGTAGTGCAAATGACCGAGCTTTGACAAAACAAAGCAACTCCACGGTATTGAAGGCCCAGAACTAGCTCACTATTTGCATAGCCATGTGGTTCCTTTCCTTATATCCAGGAACGTGGCAGAGGAGCCGACGCGGGCATTTGGAGGTCTTCGAGTCTTTCGAGCGGTCAATAATGCTGGACTTCGACATAACGACGAGCCAGAATGCAAAGAGGGGAAGCATGAGGTCCGCGCTAGGTTTGCAGCGAATTCGGTACGACCACGCATGAACAGATTCAATCTTGATAACGCAGACAACCATGGGGTTGCTATCAGTCTCATTCTCTTGGACGAGATGGTACTCGTCGCGCTTGGCATTGGCCGGTCTGAGCTGGAAGACTTCCGCGCCGCGCTCAATCTCGAACGCATGCGACTTTTTCCTCGCGGCAGATATGCTGGGTTTTCCTGCTCCATCGCGCTGCGGGGTCATGGTCCAGCCCTCTTTCGTCGCTTTGAAGGAGGAGGCAGTGATGCCAGAGGTCTCGGATGCGTGGAGCTTGGGATGGCCATTCTTGTTCGTGAGGGAGGCGAAAATGCCGGCGTCTGAGCCGGCTTCCGTGATGCTTACTCCATACTGTTCTCGGCAGTTCGGGACCGCGAGGAGGTGGCGCGTCAGGGCGGGTTTTGAGTTTTCCATGTAGGCACTTTGAGTTTGCGATGGGTGTGAACGTAGAACGCGGATGCGGTTACCGAGGAGGGCGGAGCAAGATGAAAGAAGGGTTATAGATTGGGGTTATATAAGCATGAAGAGTATAGCGACGTCAGATCAACCTTATTCATTGTCGTTCTGAAAGCTCAAGTTTATGGTGAGCTCCTGTTTTCTCGTGATATTATGTCGAGCTGTAGAAAGAGATTTTTTTCTGAAAAGAGGGTATTCATTGGTGGATACTGTGCGAAACAACGAATCCCGTGCTGACAATGGCGCCTGATTTATGCCACCTCAGCCAGGCCAAGCGCCGCTTATTTGATCAGAATTGGTGGCTCTGCACAACGCACGTACATTGTGTGCAACCGAAAAAACAGTGAACTTTAGCGTGGCAAGCGAATATTTAACTTCAATATTCGCATGCCACGCGACCAATTCTCCCGGCGAATCATCCCCTCTCGTTTAGCACGACCGCCACATGGAACCATCTCCAAGGCCAATGCACTGCTAGCTACCCTTGGTAGCTCCTCATCTTTATCTTTATCACAGGGTATCATAGGGGCATATCCCACCCAGCCCCCACCCAGGCGACGCATGGCGTTACGTGACCGATCCGCCTCATTGTAACCCCGTCCACTGCGGACTGCGGCCTGGGCCGGCGGCGTGGCCGTCATCGAGGAGCAGACTGAACAGCAGCAGCAGACTGAACAGCAGCAGACTGAACAGCAGCAGACTGAACAGCAGCAGACTGAACAGCAGCAGACTGAACACGAGAAGCCCCCGCCATCCCTCGCCGCCGATAGGACATGGGCGAGTCGCAGGGCCGCTCGCACGCGCCTAGCACTCGCGTGGGACGCGTGCGATGAAACGCCGAGCGAGTGGCGGCAGGAAGGGTGACAGCCATGGCAGTGGTTTGCGGCTCTCTTGGAACGGGGCCTCAGGGCCTCCTTTAAGACAGCATGGACAGCCATGTTTGGATGTATATGTTTGCGATTTTCAAAATATTACATGTCCAATAATTTAGTGTATTGTGTCAGCGCGCCGTGATCCGTAAATTGGCTCAAGGGGTGCATCATACCGGGCTATCGATAGGGAAGCGAACGGTCTTTCTGAGCAGTGATGCAAGGAAGTGGCAGCAAAAAAGCCGCAAATCTCATTATCTTACAGTGCCTGGTTCGATATAGTGCCGTTTTCGGCCCACTGACAGAGGAAGGCACTATATCGCGATCCCCGTGTACTGGCATTCAGGGACGTCAATAAAATGATTAAATTGAATTTTAATGTATGCTAAATTGGATCAAGATTGAATTCAATCGCACTTATGCGGTAGACGACAGCCAATGGTGTGCTCTCGTATGGCACGTTGGTAGCGACAGATTCCATTATATTAACTTTGTGTGCGCCATCATACTGTTAAGAAAAGTATTAAATGGACCAATCAGGTGCACGCTGACGTCCATACATGTCCAAACATGCCCGTCCATGCTGTCTTAAAGGAGGCCCTCAAGAGGAGTCAGGGCGGGGAGCGAGCACTGCAGGCATTACAATAGAGCTGCAGCTGAGTTTTTCTGATCGTACATGTGTGATACGTGGGCGCAGCGTGTCCACGTGTGTACTGTTGCGATAGGGGTACACGTGTTGCGCCCCGCCGCTGTGTTTGATTTTAGACGCTGTGCTTCCCTGCAGATGCGCTCTATGACAGTGGCCCGTGTTGGATATCGCTACTACTGTACATATACCCTTCGAAGGGTACCCTTGGTACTGTGCACATCCCTCTCCACTTGTCTCCTGGCCAGGGGGCACTCCCTTTTATCACAGCCCGGACGTAGGCGCTCATTCCATCCTTTTGAGATCGCCGCTCAGCGAGGAGCGACCCCTTGCCTGTCCCTTCTGCCCATGCATCACTGCCACCTTTGTGTTGTGCAATCAAAGACATGGGCTCCATCGAAAGAACAGCAACTCGTACACGTCGTAACCGTTCTGCATCTAATACGGCGTGGCGATTTTAATTTGAAGGTTCATACATATCCTGCATTGCCAGGATTTGTTCCCGCCAAACCAGTTTGTAGTACTTCAGACAGTTGCAACTTACCTCATAACCCATCCAAAGACAAAAATGCCGCATTAACTACATGAAACTGTAGTGCAAACCGATGCAGACTGCTCGATAGTTGCCGCGAAAACGAAACGGCAAGTGCCGGCTGCTCGTCGCCAGAAGGGCGCTGCAATTTCGCGAACGAGGCGCGCTTTGCAGCTTCCCACTGCCGAACAGATCGGAGATGGACAGTAGGTTTTCCATCTTTCGTAATCTCCGGAACAGAGATACTAAAATACGAATAAAAAATTGATACATTATTGCAAATTAGACCGTTACACGACGCTCGCCACTTTTTCAGAGTGTCCGAAAATGGGCTCTATATGCGGTTTTTCTGTGGCTTTGCAGAGACTGTAGTTGTCGTTTGGTGGCATTGAGAACAGGATGAGACGTGCTCCTTCGTCTTGGTATTTCCGTCCTTTTGTCGGATTTTGAATCTGATTTGCCATTGCGAAAATATAAAGGAAAGCGCTGGCTTGCCCAAGGTATGGTGTGTAACACAATGTGAAATGGCTATGGGATGGATAAGCTTTCCCTGGATAGCGCGCAGGGCGCGAAAGGCCAGATAATTAATCAACGTTGTTCGCGACCTTTGGTGACGTAAGCGGTTACGTCATACAGTGAGTCTGCCAAGGGTTGCGTGAGCTGGCCACGTGTACAGTAGCTCCCCTGTTACACAACGGGCACAGAGGCGAAAGGACGGAACGGTCAGAAGACCGGGGTGGCATAGATTCCCCAAGATAAATAGAGGGAGAGAGACCTTCCCGACAATAAAGGCAGAGCTCAGACAGGGAAAAGGAAATCCGTCTGAGTGTCATCGCCAGGCACTGTTTCTGTTTCACTGCGGTAGTGACTGCGTCAGAGCGAGCACGACAACGCGCGAGAAAGGGACACAACGTGTTACAATAATTACTGCGCATAGCGTGGCGACCGTTCTCGCAAGAAAGACTGCTGAATCGCGATGATTTCACTACCCCAAGAGGATGGAGCTCCAAAGACGATCGACCACTCATCGGAGACTGTACGACAGACCATTGTGGAGACTCTAGAGGCGCTCCGTCTTACAAACATGGGAACTGAAAACTTTGTCACTTTTAACCAAAAGCATGAGGTTTATGAGAGGCAAGTAACTGAGAAGAATGAAGAGAATGGTGTCCAGATCTCACTCACGACTTATCGGAACTCAATTAAGAAGGCATTTTTGCACATGATGGTGACAGCACAGTGGGTTCCCGTGAAGTCCGTTGACGACATTACAGAAGAACACCTTCGTAAGTGCGTTGAGGAACGGGCCAGTGTTTCCCTGAGGACTACGATCTTGCGCAGATTGAGCGTGACATCAAACACGTCAAGATGAATCGCAAGAAATCGCTTGAAATGCAGGTGTGGAGGCTCGGTCTGAGCTATGCATCAGCCCTTGAGGACCTCGGATATGACCAGTTCATTGATAAACGCCCACGAATTGCAGTCGAGCACATAGTGCAGAGAATCTCACATGCTCAGCTTAAAAAGAGAATGCTTTTGACGCTTAAGCTTCGCAACGAAGAAGGACTGTAGAAACGTTACAATGAGTTCATGCGCGAATTGGCCAAGGAGGCTAGAGCCATCGACCGCCAAGATGCGGCTAAAGGATTCGACAATTTCATGACCGACTCAGATGAGGACGGAAAAGGAAGAGCACCGAGTCACCGTAAGGGCAGAATTGGCAAGTCCAATAAGGGCCGGGGTAGATCTGATGGTTCTGTAATGGCCCGCGGCGCCGGCTCTTCTGATCACAGGGGCAAGTGGTCGAGTGAGAGGTCCGGTCCTTCGAAGAAGCGGAGCCGTCCGGACTGTCTGAACCCTAAGTGCAACGAATCGCATTACATGGCCGAGTGTCAGAGCACGCCCGACGCCTTGAAAAAGCGTTTCCTTGAAGAGTACCACGCCAAGAAAAAGGCGAAGAAGGACCAAAGTCGAGGGAAGGTGATGCGTCTGGGGGCGGAAGCCATTGACAACCATTCTTCGCTTTCCTCGGCAACATTCTGCCGGGGTGCGGTTGAAGCTGTCGAGATGGCTGATCAAGGGTCGGATTTCAATATCATACCACCTGCGGTTTTGGAACATATGCTCCAGGCGGACAAAAATTTAATTGTTATTGATCTCCCCTAGAAGGCGCTTTACACAACCGTTGACAAGAACGGTCCACCGCTGGCATGTGGCCGCAAAGTGATCGCAACTGTGCTTTTGCGAATCCGCCATGGCACCAAAATGGCCATGCGCGATATGGAATGGTTAGTTTGCGACCGAGGGACAGACTACGTCATCATTAGCAGGCATGTACTTGCAGCTATTGGTCTGGACAACAAGGTCCTCATGGCGGCCGCATGCGATCGGCATGACGGCGTGCTGAACGTGCCTGAGATGCTCCGAAAACATCAAGAAGGTAAGCACCAGTCTTCAATTGCAGGATCTATCCATAGCCTTCTCCAGCAGCCGGAATTGGGCAGCACCTTTCACAGCCACGGCGGAGCCGAGGCTGACATGCTCGACGTCACAGATGTGTACGTCGACTTGGGCGATGATCCTGTCGAGGATCTCGAGGCCGTGCTTGCTTCCAAGGTCGAAGCAGCCACAGATAATGGCTTGTCGTCCAATGGAGCAGTGAAACTTGCCGCGTCGCTCATGCAGTATCAGGCGGTTTTCGAATTCGGCTGGGCAAATCCCCACCAGCCGACGTTCCACCTATGAGGGTTCGCCTTGACCCTAACAAACAACCCGTTAGGGTAAAAGCCCGTAGATATTCGCCGGAGCAACGACTTTTCATGGAGAAGTACATCGATGCCCTGATGGATATGGGATTCTGTCGGCCCATGCCGACAGCTGAGTGGCAAGCAGCTCCGCTGCTTGTGCCCAA